CCTGGGTCGAGGCTCTGCCGCTGAGGATACGGAGGCACCGGAGGAACGTCGGAAAGCGGTGCCCGAGCCTTGTCTTGTCAAGTGCTTGTGTGGGCTGGCTTTGGGCTTTTTTTTCCCCCCTTTTTTTTTTCTCCCCCTTGAGCACTTCTCTTCATTTTTAAACCACAAAACTTCAGTTTTAAGAAATGCATAAAAATGGAATGAGTTAACTTTCCCTGCAGTTTTACCTGAGATGGGATGGTAGCCTCTCTGTGGGCTAGGCTTTCATAACCATTCTCAGTACATTTACATCCACCTATGTGCGCGGTCTGTACCTGTGCCGATAAGGGCAGTCCACAAAGGAAGATTGAAGGTGCAGACTGCTCTGACAGCTGTTACCATTTGTCTTTCCTTTTCTGATTTAGCAGTATTCCTCAATCTTTTTTAAAACGGCAGGTAGAAATCTCACTCTGAGTTGAGATTACGTAGTGATAGGAATTTTTTCAGAACTTAACTGGTTTTTAAGACTGCTTCCTTCCAGATGAGATATCTCTGAGGGATTCTTGTTCAACAGCATTATTTTTTATGTGAGGAAAGTGCTCTAATGCATTGGAAGTTCTGCTAGCTCTTGCTCACAAAGCATGAGCGGATATGTGCTAGTTTGCTTTTTAACCCGGTGCCTGATGCTCCTTGAGCTTAAAGGATGTTTCTGTAACAACATTCAACATGTGGTTTGAAATAAAGATATATGGATGTCTGTGATTCTGACAGTATCAACTAAATTAAGGCTATGTTAGCTCTGAATCTAAAAACTGTGACCTTTTGCTTCTTGAAGTACCCGATAATTGAGATAGCACTGTCATTTGTCTGTAGTTAATGAACTCCAGGTGTCTTTTCCCATCTACAAGAATAAGGAGGCTTCAGTGTGCACTGAGCAGGAGAAAACAGGTAAGTGCGCCAATTTGCAAGCAAATATGATTGTATTCTTGCTTTATTGGTTTTCATTGACTGCTGCAACAGTGTCATGGACACCTGAGTGGCTTGTGCTGTTTGTATAATATAATGTAGAAATCATTGCTTGAGGCTAAAAAACACTGGTTTTTCTGTGTATGAGTCCCTCGAGGATGAAACCTCCCACTTCACCGACTATCTCGGAAAGGTCGGTTCTCTGGTAAAGCATGCAGTGGGTTGCTGAACCTAGGCTGTCCCTACCTGGACCTTCCCGTGCTGTCACCAGTCCCAGCTGTGAGGCAGTGCGTAAGGACTACCATTAGCTATCTGCAGCCCAGGTACACCTAAGCTCCTATGGCAGCCCTCATCTATGGACCTGTGGTAGCCCATAGCAGTGATGGGAAATGTAAATAGGGAGAGAGCACAGGGAGAAGAGTGATGGTTCCCCTCATCATGGGTTTTTGAAGAAGCTTTCATAGCCATTGCTTTTGCTGTCTCTACCTGGGGATACAAAGAATCCCTTAGTTCTCGCCTGTTGATCCCACTAGTGGTATGATCAGCTTGTCGTGAAGCATAACTGAGTAACTGTTTGTTTGTCTTTTCTTTTCCTTGATCTTATATTTGTGCAGAGAACTCTGTGAAAGCTTGAAAGATAATAAGCTTGTTTTGTCTCCTAATTTTTGCCTAAGGCCTCAGTGTGTAATCTTTGATTTCAGAATCGTTTGGGAACTTGAGACCAGAAACAACAGTCTCTAGGGAATCTGTCATAGTAGTAACCACAGCCTCTGGGGAGGAAGTAGAAGATGAGATTGTGGAAATGTATTTTGAAAATAAAAAGAAGTCTGGTGGGGGACCCATCAAGTCTTACGGCAGAAGGGATCAGCAAATAATCATCACCTTCCAGAATGAGGAAGGTATGATCTTATTTTATGGATTCTATATTACTAAAGCACCCTTTTTAAAAAGACCTTTGCTGGTGGTGGGTCTTTTGTGGTTTTTGCCACTGTGGAAATATCATATTATTCCCAGAGAGCGACACGATGAAAAAGGAACCGATGTAGCTATTTATTCAATGCAGATGTGGGTGTCTGCCAGTGCTTATAATAACCTGCAAGAAAAGACATGGTTCTTTAGACCTATCCCGGATGCTTAATCAAGGCTCACAGAGAATAACGTAGGAGAACTGGCGGCGGGAGCACTGCAGAGTAAGAAAGCTTTATCGTAGTTCAGGAGGTGGGATACAGCGTAGTACAGTATTAGCTGCAGATTGTGGGTAAATACTATCCTATTGTATTTTCCTTCATATTAATCTAAGCTGCCAGGGTTTTGGAGACTGGGAGGAAAAGAGGCAGTAAATGTCATGTCTTTGTAAGAAAGAGGTGAATGTTGTTTTCAAGAAAATGCTGTTCTGAGTTCATCTTGACCTTTTGTGAGGCTCCAAGTGGCTTTGGTGGATACAATCATGAGTAATAGAAAAGCAGGAGAGAAATAAATTCAGGTATCTGAACCAGAAAAGGGACTAGCAGACATTCCCATAAGGCCTGACCAGCTCCTATGAGTACATACATTAGGAAACCCATATTGGCATAAGCCAAGAGCCCTCAGGACCCCTTTTAGAAAAACATATTTATCTGTACCTGTCATAAAATCAGCAGCAGGTTTGCAAAGCACTATCTCACCTTGCTGGAGAAAATAAGTTTAAAGTAGCCTCAATTTATATGTAGTTTTCCTCCACCAAAATACTGTTCACAACTTGTTAGCATATGAAGGACCTACACAAAATTAAGAAACTGTCTGGTTATACAGGAGAAAGTCATATCTGTTAAATGCATGAGATAAGCAGGCTGGAAAACCATTTCTTTATTTGCTGTTTATTAGGTGTTGCTAGTCTGGAGAAGAGCTTGTGGTTGAGGACTATTTGACAGTAGAAAGGAGGTTGTGTTTACCTCGAAAAGTAACTTCCATTTCTTTAGGGAGACTGAGACGTCTAAATTGTAGAGTAAGGTTTATCCTGATCCTAACTCTTAATGTAATTTTGCCTTATTTTTTTTTTCCTCATGCCAAAAGAAACAGATGCCTGGGCCGATTTTTGAGGTAGAGCGTAGCTTAATGTGTTGATCTGTTCTGGGTGGGGAGAATGGAAAACAGCATCTTTCTTGTTTGTTTTTCTCTGAAACTAGATGCCCGAGGAGTCTTGCAAAGGAAGCATCACTCAGTGAAGAAAATTGGGCTTTTGGTGAAGCCTTGGCAAGTGGAGACTATCCAGGAGCTGTGCCAAATGGAGAACTCTCAAGAAAATGTGCCTTCTGCCTTAGTTGTGCTTGAAAATGTGCGGGAGACAGTAGGAGATTACATGTTAATTATGCTGGTAGAGAACATCAGTGGCTTAGCAGAGGAAGATGATGACTTCAGTGTGGAAATGATACCTGAAATAAATGCTGCTGTAGTTACTTTTACTGGAAGTACTGGTAAGAAGGAATCTGGGTTGCAGATCTTTCATTAGCTACTTCTAAGAAGGTGTGTGGGAGGGAGACAAGGCTACAATTAAAAGAGCGGCGTCTTCTGTTGTTAGCTTTCAAGCCTAATCTGATCTTGCATCATTTAAACTGAGAAATGACTCCACAAAGTCAATGAGATATCTTTGTATTTGTAAGGTATAAAGGCCAGTGTAAGTGAGAAGAGGGTTAGCTCTGGTTTGTGTGGTGAACAAAATGGGTGGGACTAAAACTGAACTATAGCTTTGTACAAGCAACAAAAGGATATGGTGAGTCTTACAACAGATAGATAGTGAGGGATCCCCTTGCTAAAGGGCGTTATACATATACGAAGCTTGCATGGATTCAAGGGAACACTGAGCAAGTACTTAGAACAGAGCCTTTTAAGGTTATTACATGTGCTGTGTTAGGCTTAGGGAATCTCCTGTAGTAAAAAATAGTTGGAGGCTGGGAGAGGGTTAGGGAAGTGGCATCTTCTTACTGCAGTTCTCTAGATCCCTGCTATGGCCCCTGCTGGAGGCAGGATCCTGGGCTAGATAGACCCTGGGCTGCTGAGGCAAGTCCAGCTGCTCTTTATGCACAGAGTGGTAGCTGTCAGTTACGTGAAGTGTTGAATTAACAGTACCTGCTTTGCCTGAGGCTGTGGTACGAACCAGCAAAGCAACTTAGTGCCTACTGT